TGTATGTAGTGTATGTAGTGTATGTAATGCAACGTAATGTAATGTAATGTAGTGTAATGTACTGCAATGTAATGTATGTAACGTATGTAATGTATGTGGTGTATGTAATGTATGTAATGTATGTAATGTAATGTAATGTAGTGTAATGTAATGTGATGTAATGTAATGTAATTAATGTATGCATGCAATGTATTAATGCTGTATGCATGCATGCATGCATGCATGCATGCATGCATGTATGTATGCATGTATGTAGTATGCAGTATGTATTTATGTATGTACGTATGTATGTACACATGTATGCATAGCTGTGTAGTACATATATACATATATATATGTATGTGCATGTATTCTAATATATTATACTATACTATACTATACTATGTTATATTATGTTATATGGTATTATATTATATGGTATTGTATTATATTATGTTGTATTATATTATATTATATGATATGATATGATATGATATTATATTATATTACATATACGCATGCAACCGTCTGAGTTCTTGGCACAGATCATGGGAGGGATCCACAGCATCAGCAAGAAGCAACTATCTGAGGGGAGCTCTGTGGCTTCTTGGCAGAGCACCTGGAACCTGTTGAACCTCCACCAGATTCTTTGAGGCCACAAGAGTTAAAACTTGTCAGTCGTGGACGCTTGTTCGTGGCAAAAGACGGTAGTTGTGTGCAGAGACCACGTCCATTAAGTCCTCGGATCATACTTGGAGCCTCCCGTGCACAACACGTGCACATGGCGCCAGGCGAGAAGTGACGGCCGACTTAGAGTAGGCTCACTCTGCTGCAGTGGCAGCGTGATGGTTTCACTTCGGTTTCCGCCCAGGTGTCTGACAATACACTGCAACCGCGAAATTTAACAGACACTACCGGGCACTTCAGGTTCCGCTCAATGCTGCGGTATTGTTTTTGGAGGTTCGGGGGCGTGCAGCTGCCCTGCTCGGTTGCTTCATGTGCCGTCTCGACAACGAACTCCGGCTCCTGTAAACCTCAGAACACGCAAGACCTGTTAAATCATGATTAGGGCCGGGTGCGCTGATCAGGAGAAATCTTCCTCCGCCGTCCCGCATCTCTGCATTTCATCAAGGATGAAGATGTGGATTCCATTGTGTTTACGACCGTGATCTGCCCAACAGGCAGATCGCGGAGCCGAATCTCCCGGGCTAAAGCCGTGCCAAAAAGACTCTCAGGCAAGTGGCAAAGGATTGCCGATTCCTCCCCGAATCTCTTCATCACCCTGCAGCGCCTGCAAGCGCCTCGCAGTGTCCATGCGGACCAACTGGACACCGAGAATCGTGGGCGACTCGTCCACGTCCAGGCTCGCAGTTGCAGAGCTTCAGAGCTCATGGACCAGGGATCAACAGGATGTTCGGGTCTCCGCACGCCTTCAGAATTCCATCAAGAAGACTGCAGTCGCCGCAGCCTGTGCGTTACGTGGCAGGGGTCAGAGAGACTTAGCTGATGGGCTGGCAGGGGCGAGCAGCGGGCAAGGCTGCCTGCGTGGATCCCCAATTCCAGGACAGTTGTATGCAGGTTCATCTGATTCTGGTTCCAGCATCCTAGCATCGTCATTCGACACATGTGCAGACACAAAAACGGCGACTGATCGGGGGAGTGTAGGAGGCTTCAACAGATCCGGACATTGCAGATGAAAGGCGACATAGCAGCGCTTGGTAAGTCTGATTGTCACTATTGTGGTACAGGTCTCGTCAACTGTATCCCAGACTTTGGCAAGCAGTCAGTCGTTCATAAACTGCTGAAGATACATCACGTGTGCATAGCGCGTGTATATCATAATATGTACATACTGGTGCACATGCATAGATGCATAATATATGTATGTGTACATATGTGCGCATATGTAGATGTACATATATATATATGCATGTCTGTATATATCTTGTGTTATATTATATATATCACAAATACATGCCCGCACGTACGCAAGCTCAAGTCGATGTGTTGCGAAGCACTAGCACACAAAGAAAGAGCGACATAAATCCAGAAATAACGAAATGCAGAAAACGATAAAGACAGAAACAACAAAAACAGACAAGCAAACACACAACACACACACACACACCCACAAACAAAGAAACTAACAAGCAAGCAAGCAAACAAACAAACAGACAAACAAACAAACAGACAGACAGACAGAGACAGACAAACAAACAATCAAACAAACAATACGCGCACGCCCGCACGCCCGCACGCCCTCGCCCGCCCGCCCGCCCGCACGTACGCACATGCAAACACAACACACAAACCCACACAGACACACACACACACAAACACCAACACACATACGTATGTATGTATATATACATATCTGCATGTTCGCCGAGCTTCATTCTGGGTTTTGATATATAGGATGCAGAAGTGAACCGCTTGCCTACTTGCAGGATGCCCTTGTCGACGGCTGCTTGAAGCTTCAGAGCACGCTGGAGGCTGCCGGGAGATAGGGTTCTGTCAGTGCGAATCAGTGAAGGGTACGAGTGTACGAGACTATTGCACAACACCAAAGCTCTTGTATCTTGCCGCCATCGATAATTGCTGTAGATGATTCGCGAAAGAGAAAGCTCAAACGATGAACCTGGTGTCGGGGTGTAGTTGTCTCCCGTGTGTCGGTGATGGCGATGAGGAGGAGGAGGAGGCGGAGGAGCAGGAGGAGGAAGATGTTCATGAGCAGCAGGACTAAGAATAGTGATGAGCATTCTGGAGATGAGGTGGATGCTGTTGCACCGGTGACATTGGCGATGCCTTCATGGATGAAGATGATGACGATGATGATGGTCTGCTGGCGATAATGATGGTGAAGCCATCAGCATCATCGCCATTAGCCCGAGACACAGCCTGTCATTTCGGGAGGAATTCTTCACAGGTGTGCCTGCGGTATATCCAGACATCCCGTCGGGCACGAGATTGCAAGTCAGCGGGTGGGGCAGGGCAGTTGAGGCAGTTCATGGTAAGATGTCGTCCTGACTGTTGTCAGGTGCTGGAGTGGGTTCCGACTTCAACATTTGTGAAGGACGGCTTGTTCCGCATTGCAATCCTGTCCTCGCACCACAAAGTCGGGAAGAGATCGCCTTCAGCCATCTGGTGTCTGCATCTGTCAGGAGGGCGCGGGGCAAGCACGACACAGCACAGAGTGGACAACGTCCCACTACGATTCTTCACGGTTCAGGCGACTTGCACATGCGTGCTGCGGCTTTCCAGTTCAATGTACGTTTGCTGCGTGTTGAACTTCCGAAGTCTGTCGAACGATCAGTTGTGCTAACAAAGAATATTGACGGTCGCAAGATGGCAGGCAGCCAAGCCCACAGAATCCGCGGTTGCCGCCGCCCTTCCCTCAGCAGAGTTCAATCAGCAGGCTTAACCGAAGTCCAATGTGTCTTGCAGCCATGGTTGCGAGCAACATCCAGCTCGGTCAAGCTGAACTCCCTGCATGGAGCTAGTTACAAGGTCGTAGGATTGCCTTCTTGTCTGTACACCTTAAGAACTCTGCAATGACATCTCCTGGCTTGTGCTACTCTCATCTTTAGGCCATACAGATGGTTTCAGTCGCAACGTCCCTTATCATTTTCAGCTTCCAGGGGCCTTGTCCTGGGCACGCGGACTACGGCATCGCCAAAAGCCGAGCTGGGTGTCTTCCATTTGTCAGAGGATCGGTGCCAGAAGGTTCACATTCCTGCTCTCTCGCACGTGCACGCTCAAGCGTTTTTACTTGTTCTGCGTTGAGTGAACCCTGGACTTGAGTGTGCATTGACAAACCGTAAGGCGTTTTCTGCTCAAGGGCCATGAAGGTCTAGGAAGAGCGAGCCTGGCCCAGAAGGCCTTTCTGAGTGAGCGCTCTGCCATGCAGCTCCGCTTTATGCCCGCGCACAAGGCTGCAGTTTCGCCAAGTAGACGGCACCGGATCCCCTCCTGTCGTTCTGTTTTGCGATTGCTTAGCCAAGTGAGGATTTGGTCTTGCAGGAAAATCCGATCTCAGACAGTGTTCCAGGCTCGTGCAGATGCGACGTCTTCGCCAGACACTGCACTGCATCGCTTGTGCCGTGGCCGCAATGCGCAAAGGACTCATGTTTCAAACAAAGCCGCAGCTGCCGCCTGCTGTCTTAAGCCCCCGATTAGTGTTTGTGCATCTTGGTACCTTCCATGCTGTGAGCGATTGCAACTCGCAGCTAGCAGCTAGCACCGCGAAGCAGGTCGAACACCGACTCGCGCCGCTCAAAGAGCGACAGAAACTTTATGTGAAGTAGCCACAGCACAGTTGCTTGGCAATGGTGGGGGCAGAAACAAGCAAGTTATTTGGCATGAACCATTCCGGCGACGGTGGTCGTTTTGCCACACTGGCAGGATCCAGCAGACTGACAACAGCAAAATTGACACCTAATTCTAATTCTCCGCCCCTAGAAGCCCTCAAGCCAGGCTTGCATTGGGAGATGCCGCCCCTCAAGCCTCCGTGGAAGAAGCGGTTCGTGGGGAGATCGACTCTTGGTCAGCTCGGCCACAACTTGTGACAAAGGCTCCCTGGCAGCTGGGGATTTGGAGTTAATGTGGGGGCCTCAATGAGAACAGGGTTTGGGGGTCTGCCAAGGACCATAAGGGGATACATTCCGACCCCTGTGTTTGAAGAGATTCTGGCGCCTGACGGTTGCTGTAGGCCTAGAGTCTAAGAGGGGACCTAAACCCCAAGCCCCAAACCCTGAAAGGCACTGGACGTAATCTGTTCTTCCTACATTTCCCTCTCAAAGCATCTCATCAGCTTTCAGCTTGAGCGGGTTTATGACATGTAGTATGACTAGAGATAGTGTTTGTAATATGGCTTACACAATCTAGGTTGTATCATAATCATACATGAAACATGAAGTAATATATGCTATATATAGTATATAGCACTGAGGTCATGAGTGGCCTGGCCAGTCAAAGCCGGCACTGGACGAGCTTCTATTTACTCGCCGCCTTGCAGAACGGCCGATTGCAGCTGAATCAGTATCCCGACGCAGTAGACACTCCAACAGAAAGAAGTGCGACAGTGCGAGGATGTGCGAGGCTTCCCACATCACCAGCCTATATCATTCTATATCGTTCAGTTTCATTTATGGGTCAGGCTTGGCACGTGCAGCATTAGTCAAGCTTGCTCTGCTTGGATATGCTTCCTCGCTCTAAAGGTATCACTTCTCCGCCGCAATTGGTGCGTGCCTGGGTGCATGGAACTTGGTCTTGCAGATCTTGGGGATGATGGCGGCGTCGGGTGTGGTGCCATCGGTGATCTGCTTCTCGTCCGCAGGTCAGCAATAGCTGCAATGGACTGCGATCTTCTCGCTATGCTGTTCGGATCAGTCGATGAGTGTTAGCCCGAATTCGCCGACACCACCAAGGTATGAATTCAGCTATTAGCATCTTGGAGAAGGCTGGCAAGTGGCAATTGTCATTGCAGCTTTTCTCGTCAATGTGACTTGTCTTGTATGCAAGATGTTCGGGCACGTGCAGAACTTGTTGTTGCGACGGGGTGAAATTGAAGCTGTCCTGGCACCCAGAGCTGATCCGAATTGGTAATGTGTTGCGTTGCAGTGAGTCCAGCCTCGTCCATTGAACCGGTGTAACCCTGGAACCACCGGACATGACTCAGTCACAGCTTTTCTTTCACTCTCCGATCCGAGGCATGCTGCGGATCTTCTGCCAGACGTGGTATCCTTCAACTCATCCCTGAGCGCATGCAGCCGGGGAAGCCAGTGGCAGACATCCTTCAAACTGCTCAGTGGCTGGGCCAGTGAAGTCAGGGCTTCTGCCTTGCGTTCCGGTCGGTGGGCAGGGACTTGACCAACCTTGGTCAGGAAATGTGCGGACAAACAGAACTGCGAAGCCTTTCCAGCAGAGTTCGTAGTTGCACCCCTCACGAGCTGCCTTGAGATCTTGAAGCACTGCAGTTTCCCAGGGTGCCATGGCACTGTAAGCATGTTGAGGCGGATCCACACATCGGCTGCAGCCTGAACTGCAAGTACCAAAGCGGGCGCATAAACCCCAACATGAACCCCGAAGCCCTACTCGTAGCTTCAAACTTCAATCTCAGGCGAAGTCGCAGCTCAGAGTCTGGAGCCAGACAGTGTCACTTTCAACTCTGCTGCCCGGCACACACTCGTGGAGAGAACGGACAGATAGCACAAACAGCTAGCCGGAGCAGTGATGAGTAGACAGCGCCGCAATGAGACACAGCTGGAGACTGGAGACTCGGAGTTCGAGAATCCGCTAAGATTTTTTGTTTCCGGAAGCTTACACAGAGCTGCTGCTGGATGGCTGCATCGCCTGCAGTAGTACCGAACCGTTGCAATCGTCGCAATCGTAGCAGCGGCTGCAACACCCAAGTCTCCAAAGGCAATGGCCTCGTGTGCGCAAGCCGGTCTTTGGGATCTCTGCCTGCTGCTGCTGACGATGACATGGGCTCAGCTTCTCGAGTTCAGAGCCAGTGCCTGCAGCCGTCGCAGAAGCACAGTCGACATGTTTCCATGACGCTTTTCCTCCAGTATGATGAACGTCCTGCCTCGGCAGCAACCGGCTACCGGTACTTGTCACGAAGCTACGGGTGCTAGTCGAATCAGCCGCAGCCCTGGCACACAGAAACATGGAGCTGTTAGTTGAGGGCTAAGGGATGAATGAGGAAACTGCAAGACTACATTGCAAGGGGCAGCAGCGACATCATCCAACTCTGAGGACTCCGGAGGGCCCCTGAAGCCCTAAAGCCCTAAAGCCCTAAACCCTAAACCCTAAAGCTGGAGTAGAAGGCAGGGTGTAGCAGCGATCCTGCTTACTGCCCCCTTCCCCCGCCGCTCCGCATCTCCGTTCGATTCTGACGAGGCTCTGGAGGTCCTTCAATATGCTATATATAATATAATATAATGTAATATAATATAATATAATATAACAGAATATAATATAATAAACTATAATATACTCCTGTTTAGTGTTCAGGTGTTGCGTGTTGGTGATCCTGTGCTTTTCCCACCGAAGAAAAGTCGGAAGCAATCTTTCGCAGGTCCTGTGCAGGTTTCTGACTGGCGCTTCCTGGGGTTTCAGATCATGCATGTCTGGCATTCGGCAATGGGGCAGCGAAGGCAAAATCTGTTGTCTGCCTTACTGCCGGCCCTCGCCTCTGAACCATGAGCATAGCGAATGAAACAGGCCCTAGCCACCGTAGCTGTCCGTAACCTTGAGAATTCAGGCTTGCGTTTCCACGGGTGGGTGGGCAATGGTGGGGAGGGATGCATGGATGGGAGAGCTCCAATTTCCTTTCGGGACGGCAGAGAACACTGCGTACTTTGGGCCGAGACCTTGAGCAACAGCTGTTATCAGCCCGTGGAAAAGCCGGCGAAGCAAGGCGGTGCCCATGTTCTCGAACCATGCATTCCCGCGTGAGACTGGCCGGATTGTAGAGTAAAGGTGAGTAAAGTTGCAGACACTTTACAATGTCTGAAATGCTCTTGGCCGCAGCACCCCAGCTGCTCGACAGCAGACCGAAGCGATGCTAGCTACTGCTTCCTTCTGCCTCCGACTGCTGGACCGAGGATGCAGGACAGCGTTCCAGCGGACATCATCAGCTTCAACACCTCCATCAATGCGTGTGCCGGCGCCGGAACTTGGCAAGTCGCACTGTCTTTACTGGAGAGGCTTCAAGCATTCCGCCTGAGGCAGGAGGGTTTCCTACATTACATATTTACAGGTCTGCGACATGATTTTAGATTATGTTGCATTAGGTTGTAGTTCGTGTTGTAAAGCCGCTTTGCTCGAGCTAGCCGAGGCCTAAGCCCTTGTTGGTTTCTCGAGGATCTCGCAAAGCAAGAATTTCCTCTTCTATAGTCACCGTAGGGACTAAATATGTGCTTCTGATATATTCTTTAATATGCGTATATGTGTATGCATGTACAAATAACTTATTTCACTAGTGACTAGACCATACTGACTATACTTTCATTTCCCCCAAGCCCGATTCTGCTTTTCAAGACGAAGAGTAAGGTGGTGCTGGCTCTCGCAACGCTGTAGTTGCCCTGTTTGCCTGCTTGCCATGCTGCAGCCCGTCAGGCCAGACCTCTTCACCTACAGCTCTGCGCTACGCGCCTTCGAACCCAAGGGCCTCTGGCAACTGTCGCTCAGCTTACTCGCCAGCATGCAGAAGGACACAAGCCTCCTGCAAGCCTCCCTCATTCGCATCTCCGGGTCCCAAGATGACTCGGCCATGCAGCCTGTAAGCGAAATCCTGTGAAGATTCGCGGAAACGAGCGAATCCGCGGCCCCTGGCAGGACTCTGTGGACCCTCAGCCGATCTGCTACCGGAGCGTAATCAGTGCCTGTGAGCAAAGCAGCAACTGGGAGGTGGCTCTGTGCCTCCTAGCTTTCCACGAGGACGGATGCTAGATGGCGTTGCCTTGTTCTGTGGGTGAGCATAACCAGTTCTATAAGAAATCTCAAGAAGTACCGTGTGACGGATACTGCAGTCCTGGACCGGACATAAAGATCACTGTTGAAGTCAGGCAAAGCAGGTCTGCAGACGTTTCTCGCTCGTTGTTGTAGGGTTCCTGTCAGGGCGACGTGATGGGCTACAGTGCAGCAATCAGTGCCACTGCAAAGGCGGGATGGGATGCGGGCCTAGTCTCCACATGTTGAGGCTTTGCTTTATTGCATGCATGCATCAGTCAGCGACACTCATGTGATCCTAGAAGACCGGACTTGCTCGGCTCCTTGGGGTGCGGAGTTCTGGCTAAGAGCAGTGAGCCCAGAGTGAGCCTTGTGCCATCTTGTGCCTTTGCGCTCCCGGCTGCAGCGTCAAGAGGCAGCTCAGTGGCGCGCAGCTCTGTTTTTACTCGGCGTCGGCATGCCCACTGCGAAGGCACCGCTATGCACCTGCAGATGTCCCAGAGTTGCGATCACAGCCTTGCCTCATGTGCCCGGCAAAGGTGAACCCCAATGTCATCTCATACAATGCAGCGATGAGTGCATGCGAGAAATGCTCGCAATGGCAGCTCGCGCTGCACTTGTTGGGTCTGCTGCCTGCCGCCTCCCGGCTTAAGTCGACGATGGGGTTTTCTTTGTCCATTTTGGACCAACCCGACTTCTTTCGTGGAAGCATGTCGAGGCGGGCCTCCAACCAACGGTCGTCTCATTCAGCTCGGTGAGCAGCGCTTTCGAAAAGTCAGGCACCGTGCTCAGATGCTCCACTGCTACACATGGTCGTGGGCCAGAAGAGATGGCATGGGAGCTACAATACGGTCGTCTGCCTTTCCGAATTCTTCCCGGCCGGAACATGTCCGTTCTCCTCACCCGGAACAGTGCCATCTTCACTCATGTTTTTTGCCTCTCGTTCTCTTTCGTTTGTGTTGCGCGCGTTGCCTGTTGCCTCTGTCAGCAACTTCGTCTTAAAGAAGCCGTTTCTATGTTGCCTCCGCAATTTTTAATTCTGTGCTGTCAAGCACGGATGGCCTTGCCATTGCAAGTCACGGCACTCCACAGGAGAATGGTCCCTAGCTCTGCATCTACTGAGCGAGATGCCCGAATCCCGACTGCAACAGGTCGCTGAACACGGGTGATGTTGCGGTCACGTTGATTAGAGCCCAATATGTCAGCATGTCCCGCTGATGCCCTGCGATAACAGCCAGCAAGAGCCGGCCACATGTCGCAGCTTCGCAAAGCCATGTTGGCATGTGGCACCCGACACATCACTAAGGAGCAAGCGGCCCAGCCGAATGTGATAACCTACAGCAGCGTCATCACTGCGTGCGCTGCGGGCAGCTGCCTGTCAGAGATGAGCTGCTGCACAAGTGGTAGCATTTTACCGGGATGAACTTTTCAGGAGGCGCTCTTCGCAATTCTCCATCTGACCGCAAACCTTGCAGGCCAGTGGCAGCTCGCTCTTCTGGCAGCTGGGCTGTGTTGAGCTATCACGAGGCATCACAGTCACTGCATCATGCAGTTGAACCTGCCCAACGAGAGAATCCCTTCGCCAACAAGGTGTTTAGCACAATACATTTGCAGAATCTGGCTGTCGACGAAATCAGTGGCTCGGTGCCGGGATGAAAGTGATATAGCGCTGTGCATATCTGGAATAGACATGGACATGAGATCCAGTAGATTCAGTCAACCGAGGCTGCAACTCAGCAATCACTGCCTGTGAGAAGGCCGGGCACTGGACCCGGGCCCTGGCTTTGCTTCATGGACGCTCGGAGTTTCAAAGATGGCCCAAGTCAGAGCGGTTGGAGTATCGCATCACAGCATGCAGCTGCTCGAGGTATGTCAGCCATGGAGCTGGAGCGCAGCGTTGTGAGCCTTTCAGCTTGAAACTGGTAAGTGTTCAGGTCACCAACTCCCGGTTTGCAGGGCGGACTTGCCTTCTTAACTCAACCAGTACTTTGATCATTGGAGGCGTGCCTGGAGTTGTTGCGAGTTTGCTTGCTGCTTCCTCAATCACTGGTACAGCCGGTGTGAGAGTGAGTGTGCTTGACCATCTCATGCTAATACGGTATTAATAATACGTGACATGCATGCGTATGTACCCCTGTAGGCACACTAACCCATCCCCAAAGAACCAGCCCCGAGCAAGCACAGTTCACACAGGCGCCAACTTGCAACAGATCCAAGGTGGACAGAAGACCACGAGTGCGTTACGAAAGCTCCAAAACTACGAACGGGGTTACTGTTCCGAAACTCAACAGAAATCCAGACAGAACCATTTCAACATGCAACAGACCATAGGAGACCCAACGTTCAAAACATGCCGACATGATAAGATTTCTTCTGCAATATCTGACAGGTTGCCTTAGAGTTAAACCTCGACCTTGACACTGCGTACACAAGCAGGTTGATTGGGGAGGCGTTTCCACTGAAACTTGGAGACCCTGAACACCTGCCTGCGTGCTTGTATCTTTGCAAGTAGGCAGCACGGCCAGACCACTCTCAAACAGGTTGGAGCTCCGCTGTCAGTGCCTGCGAGAATGCGGAACAGTGGCAGGCAGCTTTTGCGCTGCCGCTTGGACTCAACAAGCAGTTGCGGCAACATGGTGTGGAGATGCTCATTTGGAAGACGGCTTGAGGCTCGATGGCATGCTGCGTGCTGGGACAAGGCCGAACACGCTGACCCTCAATTCTGCCATCAGCGCCTGTGAAAAAAGCTCTCTGTGGCAAAAGTCCCTGCAGCTACTGTTTGGGACTCTTGGCAAAGAGACATTTTCTGCAGGCAGAACGAGAGTCTGTGTCTGCCGAGCACACCTTGTTCCGATTATTCTTATCTCCCGTGCAAGTCTCATTATTGATCATTACTGCTGCTGCCATGCCACCTTATACCCGACACTACTGTGAATACGAGTAGTGACAAAGCCAGATACTGATCTCTCAAACGGTACTGCATTCGAAAAGGTGGCTTGCAGTATCTGCGGCTTGCAGGAATGTTGTTTTTCGGTGTTTGGCTGCCTAGAGTCTGTTATACCGGTGGCATCCGGTGGCTCTATTCCACAACAGTTTCACAAGTATGTTGTGCTGGCTTAATTTGCAGACCGGAAGCTTTACCGGACATTGGTGTGCCTGCTAAGGATGCGAGAGATGAGCCTTCAGGCAGATGGAGTGACTTTCAATGCCGCCGTCTTGGCCTGCTCCCGTTCACGCCAATGGCAAGAAACGCTTTGGCTTTTTGCAGACGCTTGGTCTGTTTTTGGACACCAAGAACGCCTTGTGACTTGCGTCGTTCGCACTTTCTTGAAACCAATCAGCATTGTAACCCGGGCGCGGCTGATCCCCTTCACCGTGTAAAGGTGTCCAAACCAGCCAAATTTGCTCCCGATTCCGCTCCTTTTCTCCGCAATACGTGTCATGGACTGTCAACTTGGTTACTTGAGTCCCCCATACTCCAGGCCCTCGACCCCCGTCCGCCACCCTTCACAGCCAAATTTGCCACCCCTACCCTCCTTGCAGTTCCCACTCCACACCCGCTTGCCCCACATTGCAAATCTGAACGCTTTTTGCCGCGTCCCGTAGCTGCAAATCTGCCTCTTTTTCCTCCTCAAATCGCTGCCCCCATTTTTGGAATCGCCTCCGCGCCCCACGCTTTAGGGTAACCAGCCGCAAGGGACACCAAACGTAAAGCTGCGCTTTCGGTCATCTAAGGACATGCAGGCCTCCAAAGTCGAGCCTGAAGCGTTGAGGCTTGGCTTGGAGGTTACATGTTGCAGTGGCTGGTCGCCGTCGCAGCAAACTCGAATGATCTTGCCTAGCTCCCAGCGCAGCATTGGAAGCAGCTGAGGACATTCAGTGACTTCGGCTTGCAAAGAGCAGTTGGCAAAGGCCTCAACTCTCATAGCTTGCTACCTACCGATCTACTGAGTCAGTGTCGGGTGTGTCTTCTCTGGAAGATGCTTCAAGAGTCGATTTTGTGGCGTATGGGTGAGAGAGAGACATAGACGGAGAGAGAGAGAGAGAGAGAGAGAGAGAGAGCTGACTCTCGAAGTGCACCAAGTGCAGAAGAAGACGAGCGAGAGCCAGCTCTTGCTCAAACCGCGAGCCATGCGGGATACCACAAGGTTACCACAAGGCTATCATGCTATACTATGCTATGGTATGCTATACTGTATTATCTCTCATATATATATATGTATACATACATACATACATACATACATACATACATACATACATACACACTTAGGGTTACTTTTAAGGGTTGTTACTGTAAGGGTACGAGAAGTGGCCACGAGGCACAAGAACTAGTGCTCGCAAGCGTAGAGTTGAGGGCAGCTCCGCTGTCAGCAGCAACGAAGGCAAGCTCTTACTTGCAATCTAGGCATACCATAACTAGTATCTTGTGTTATCTTGTGGTATTCATGATGCCGTCGGTTTTAATAGTAAGTTGGCAGTATGTTTTACTTTATTGTAGTATTTTGTAGTATTTTCGATATGTTCGAGCATGTTATCGTAGGTTGTAGCATATTACAGCATCTTATAATGGTATACTGTAGCATATGTGAGTATCTTATAGTGGATTACAGTCTCTTGTAATATATTGTTCACTATCACTATAGTGGTTGTTTAAAGTTTCGTAGTCGTCACAAATACGCCCTCCGCAGCGTGTGAGTTGCTCATGAGCTCCACTGCGAGGTTACGTTCTCATGAACTGCGAGCAGTTCGGCCTCGTGAGTCACGAGGTGCAGCGACAAATCTTTCGGAAGACCGTTGAAGCAGATCAGGTCATGCCTACAAGCTGCAGTTACGGCCACACCCGAAGCCTTCTTGTGAAGCTGCCAGAAGCATCAAAGGATTGATTTTCATCTCCAGCGCAACCCCCTGGCACAGGAAGTATAGAACTGGAACTCTGCATGCCTGTGCACACGGATGGAAAAAGCCTCATGGGACAGCTCCGATTCGTAAGCAGCTCGTCCCACAGGTTGTGGTCCTTGCCAGCCTGCGAGATGTGCATGGCCGGCGTATCGTTGCGCAAAGCTCACTTGAGGGGAAAAGCTTTGCCAGTCTGCGCATGCCAGGCTCTGATGTCGATTCGATGTAGAGTCGCGACATAGACCCTTTGCCTAGGCAGGAGGCAGTCTGCGCATATAATATAGTTTCTTTACTTTCCAGATCCCTGACGAAAGTGAAGATCCAAAATCCCCAAACCGCTGAGCCCCTTCAGAATCCCCAAACTCCAAGCAGCGTCGGAAGTCCCGAAGCCCCAAACCACCCTTGTCCTGGAGCACAGCAGGAGATGCTAAGCCAGTTTCGCACCTTCGAACCAGCCATGGGCCGGTTGCCTCCAAGAGCCCGGGCCCCTGGATGTGAGGGTTTCGGGGACCTCGCTGGGAATGTCTCAGTTTTCGGTTCTCATGCCACGGCTAGGGCGAGCAAGCGGGTGCTTTTGGCTGACAGACGCAGCCTAGAAGCACCGTATGCAGCAAGCCTCTCTGCCTCTGGCAAGGTGCATGCGGCGGGCATCACCTTCCATGCGAATCAGCAGGAGCTCCTGAACCCGAGATCCTGAAGCTGATTTGCACAGACCTGCCGGTGCAATAAATGCCTTTGCCCCTGCAAGGAATTGAATAGAACATAAGTTACACGACACTACCCTACATATTTTCCTTGCTAGACTAGACCAGGCTATGTTACAGTTTACTCTGAGTCTGTTTGGTTATTTTATTGTAGTAGATCATGTTGCAGCATGTTTTCAACAGTTTGTTCTTCTAGGCGCTGCAACATTACATCATGTTCCATGGTCGTGTCTCACATTCTGTTTTCTCACATCCAGTCACATCACATGCAAGAAATAGGGTTCTACACTATGTCATAGTTTAATTTAAGATGTTATATGAAAACATTATATGATATGACCTTAGAGCACATCTGATGCTATGTGGCATCATACGGTGGTTTATGATGTTATATGTTGTTTTATGATATTTACACAAATGTACATATGATTATTGATGATAATACCTGCTAGGGTTTTGTATTATGGTATATTGTGCTATATTACCAGATATTATAAGGTATTCTGTTTTGTTCCATCTTATGAGGATACTTGTACTTCACTGTACTATACGACATGTGCACTATGATATGATCTGATGACATCATGAAAAAGCATAGTGCTGCAACATAACATAATGCAACAGAGCATTTTGTATCGCATATGAAATTACAATCAAGGGTAATATCAAGCATAAACCATACATGTACAGTCCGCCCTCTGAGAAGATGATACATACATAGTCTAGCGAGCAGGAGGAGTCTGTACCACCTCAATTCCGCAATAGGGGTACCATAAGCGTCCGAAAAGGGTACGATAAGGATTCTATGAATGGTTCGATTGACACTGATCTAGGAGGCTGCCGTCGCCTTTGCTCTCTGACCAGCTCACAGGACGGTTTCTTCTACGGGCGTCCCGGGTTCGCCGGCAATCAGGCCCGGAGGATAGAAGATTCGCTTTTTTTCGGCGTACGGGGCGCTGTTCTCAAGCAAGGTTCTTGGCCTTTGAGCACCACCCTTCCCCATTTTTGCGATCCTCATTGCAACTACTTGCGGCTGCTGACGGTTCAGAGCTCCGAACGCATCCCGCAGGTGGAGCTCTTCCAAAAACACCAGGTCCGAAGCTCAGCCCCGTTGCTATCTGTACGCCGGTGCGCCACCTGTGCGCCTGTGTAGTGTATAGTGTGGTCTGGGGTAGGATGTAGGTAGATAGTAGGTGGGTAGGTAGGTAGGTAGGTAGGTAGGTCGGTCCTAGGATGGCAGTATGTATATGCATGCATGTACGAATGTGTGAAACGCAAGCTTCAGAGGTGCTCGATTCCTTGGTTAGGGCTCTGTGGCTGGAAGCCGCCGCCCATACGTTCCATGCAAGTGTGATGTGTAGTTGCTTACTGTTATTTCAGTGGGAGCTCGAGTGACATGAGATTGTTAGGGATGTCATCTGGTGTGAGCAATCAGAAGCTCATTTTCCGAGCGTAAGTATGTGTGTATGCCTGCATGTATGCATGTAGATAAGTTTACATTCATACACACACACACACATCGCTCATATACCCATAGATATTTAGATGTATACATATATGTACAGGTACGCATATGGAGAGAACTGCATATCGTTGAATAGGTAGCTATCTTATATACTTGTGTGTGTACACAATACATATATATATATGCATGTATGTATGTATGTATGTATGTATGTATGTATGTGTGTATATATATACAAAAGTAAAGTAAAGCAAAGTAAAGCAAGGTAAAGTAAAGTAAAGTAAGTCAAGTAAGTAAAGTAAATCAAGTAAGTAAAGTAAGTCAAGTAAGTAAAGTAAGTAATGTAAGTAAAGCCCATAAAGTCGGTAAAGTAAGTAAAGTAAGTAATGCAAGTAAAGTAGGTAAAGAAGGTAAGTACGTGAGCAAGCAAGCAAGCAAGCAAGCAAGCTAGCAAGCAAGCAAGCAAGCAGGTAAGTATGTATGTGTATGTATATGTGCATTTACAGCCATTTTAAACCGAACCGTATAGAGGCAGACAGATAGAGAAGACTGCAGTACAGTGTAGATGCGCAGAGCATAAGCTTGCATGCTTGCAGCATGTCCTTTGACAAGAACATGAAGGCAGAGAAACATTGGCGGCACTGGGAGGAAGGCTGTAACACAGGTATGGGCCTGGGAGTGGAGCTTCGGTGGCCCTAAGATGTCATGCCACACGAGGTGGGCGACTTGAGAGTCAGGCGCGAAGCACGGCGCTTGCTGTTCTGTGCTTGAAGCCTCTGCTCCCACCATTCCCAGTACTAAACTGTTTGCATTCGCCGCAGATTCCTCTGTACGCCGGAAAGCGATGCCACCGTCGTTGCCGTCCAGTGCCAGAAGGACGGCGCAGATGGAGTGACACGGAAGACTTTTGCACACAGATATCTGCTGCTTGAAGTTGGAGCAAGTACTCATGCAGGACCACAAGCTGAAATTGTCTTGCAAGCTCTATAGACTCTATAGTTCACAGCGAACGTCTCACCTCATGCCATGAGCCGCCAGTTGATGCTTGTCTCTCCGGTGTCTGTGCAGGACAAGCTCGAGACGTTTGTCCCGTACCGTGTAGTCCCCCAAGCACCATGCGATGATGAGCGACAGGCGGGAGCAATTTGTGACAGCGAAGCCAGACACTAAATCCTGAAGTAAACAGCTTCGACTGCAAGGAGCGGCTCAAGCTTGTCGAGGAGGGTGACAAGACCTGGAGGGACCACCTTTCTATTTTGCAAAGCTTCACTGCCTTCGGGTTTAGGGGATCACACACAGCTGGCATGGAATTGGATTCCAGTTCTTCTCCCAGTCTTGACTCTTGGTAGGCGGGGTAGCTTCTTACGTGCTGGTCGGTGTTACCGCTTCGCATGTTTGGTGAATGTGGGTGGGTGGGGGTGTGTGTGTGTGTGTGCGCGCCTTGTTTTGTCACACCGTGTTGGCATGGGAAGGCGAAAGGACAGGAGCTGTTATGGGAGAGCCTCGGAGGTGGTAGCTGAGCCCACTGAGCCGGCGTTCGAAGGAAGTGCGCCGAGACGGAAACTGCTGCACGGGCGGAGCTGTGGCCTCAGATCTCCGAAGCTAAGGATTTGAGCGGCAGTCACCTAACTCAAACCACGCATGTGGACATGTGTTTGTCCAGTCTCTCCACCTTCATCTGTCAGAGTAAAGCGCCAACCTACGACTCGCATGTTGGTGAGGTCGCAACCTGCTGTTGCTGCCCTTGCCGCATGGCAGCAAAAGTCTTCGAGACAGAAGCCAGCCCACCTTGATTCAATGTAAGGTTAGCATTTGAGGGTCTATACAATGAGTTTCCTGGAGACGAATGCGGCTACATGAGGGAGTACGTAGGCGAGTTAGTTACATGGATGGGCAGCTGGAAGCTTGCACCACATGCACCCTCTGCAACCAGGCCGGTTGTCAGGCCAGGCTGTTGGAATCCGATCCCCCGAAAGGCAACTGGAGCAATGATGGTGAAACTACGATGACCTGTATGAAAGTAGTGAGTGGGTGGAGGATAGTGGTAACATGCATCTACAGTGATGCCAGCGCATACAATAGGAGCAAAACAGAGTTGTCATTTGTATCATTGCTATTGCTATGAGTATTCCTGTTATTGGGGCTGTTGTTGTTGTTGTTGTTGAAGCGCTACCAGCTCCAGCGGCCATGAACTGTAGCCGTCGAATCACCACAGGACAGCCTGTGGAGGGCCCAACCTTTGAGATTCCAACAGTTCCCTGGCGCTCTAACCACACATTTGTGTAGTTCAGGCTGCGCATGCTACCGGTTTTACAGCTTCTGTGAGGAAGCCTCCGGCTTAAGCTTTTATTACACCAGTGGTGATTACAGGCACGCCACACTGCAGGCGTTATCCTGGAGCTGGCCCGGTCCCAAATCCCGTGGGGAGACAACACGTGCCAAGCAACTCGTTGCTGCTCCTAAGCAGGAGGGTTCAGGTCTTCCGCGCGGCGGGGGAGTCTGATCTGCTTGCTGCTTGCATTTCAAGCGAAACATAGCGGATGGCACAGGGCTCTTTCATGTTTGCACTCTTTGCACAGCAGATCTTTGGTTTCTTTTACGCAACGTTTTGCGCATGTCTACAGATGCTCTCTGCCGATGCAGTCCCACCATGCCAAGAGACTGGGAAGGGCCCGAGTCCCTCTTGCACGAGCGGCAGATCTCTTTAATGCCTTGTTTCATGTTACCAGCTTGGGATGGTCGCATATGCTTGCCAAAATCAAAGAACGGGATGTGTGTTTACTTCTAGTCTTTTCTGAGTCCAGAGAAGGCCAGCAAGTACACTGGTCCCATCTTGCTAAGTCTTTGGGTCTAGCAGCGAGCTTCGAAGTCCAACCAACAACACCACCACCACCAACAACAACAACAACACCAACAGCAACGGCAACGGCAACGCAGCTGCAGCAACAACCACAACTTCGTTCTCTACGCTGACAGTACTTGTACGTGGGAGCTTTGTTCTGGGGAGAGGCTATCTCCTTAAAGTGCCACCTGATCATAGTATTGGTCCTCGGAAGCTGTGGGACGCTAGCACTCTCAAGCTCGTTATACGTTTGTATTGCTTATTGACGATGAGCTTCTTATTCAGTCAGTATCCTTTCCAAGACGATGGCGTGCGAGAAGACGGGCAATCAGTGCAAGTGTCTTAGCCCCTCTACTGCCAGACTGCGAGTGTGCGCCATCCAGGCTCTTTCGGATCCACGCGTTACAAGCTGGAATGGAAAAACCATGAATCAGCCCAGTATTCCTGTTGGTCGTCGGGTTAGGCTTTTTGACTGTGCAAGGCCCAGTAGTCCCGCACGTCGGGTCATGCCGGACTTGCCAAATCTGCGACTGTGCACTGGATTCCAATGGCTTCAGGCTGTAGCTGTAGCGGCTAGTGTGGATCAGCCTGGTCGTCCCGTCCGTTGGGAAAGGCTTTTGCCTGCAAGGCCCAGTAGTCCCGTACGTCGGGAAAGGCCGGACATGCTGTCTACTTGCCAAGCTACGAGTGGGATTTCTAGGCCTCAGAATTCTGAGGCCTATCGTCGGGTGAGGCCATGCCATGGTGCTGTTGTGCTCGTTTCTTTGAAGCAGCGGTTAGTCCCGAGGCCAAGTCCCAGACCCCGAGCCGGTGAGGTAGCGTCCTAGTTTGGCGGACGGTGAGGTAGCCTCCTAGTTTGGTGGATGCCAGGTGCAAGACCCCGCGCTTGTGAGGTAGCCTCCTAGTGGACGACGGCTATGGTTTGTAAGTTCTCTGGCTTAGGTTCCTGATTGGCGGTTTGCTGCGCTTTCATGCGTGCCTGGGGTCACTCAGCCATTCTACTACTAAGCTGGCTTGTTTTGTGTTGAACATGCTCACGAAAAAGCACGGCAGCCGAGCAAAGCCCACAAGTTCTGTAAGTGACGCGCTTAAAGCTCTGTTTTGCAAACAAACGCGTGTGCAGAGTCCTCGGGCCGACACGCAGGGTGCACTTTTGCGCTCCGCACGGGCTGAGTCCACGGACCGCCATGTGAAGCAGGTCTTGCTTAGCTTTTGGCAGATTGTTGCGAGGCAAGACTGGCCATTTATGGGGCCGTTTCTAGCTTTGCTTGCTTTGTTCTTGGGCCTAGCTTGGTCCGTGTGGTTTCCGGTTTGCTGAACTTGCCCCATCGCTGGCCATTCATGAACATCAGCCCGATGTCCGACAAGGTGCGGGACGACCCGCACGAGCGTCTGACTGCAAAATGCATGCTGTTATCATTGCCAGTGTTGTTGCTATTGCTACTATTGTTGCTCGCGTGGCTAGTGTAGGCTGGTATTGTTAATCGCGTTACCATTGTCATTGTTTTCATCATTAATCATCATGTGTCATGAACCTCGTTATTGATACAATTTGGATTACCTTTAAACTTTATACTACTATTGCCGCAAAAGCTGAGGCAACACCCTCGCTTGCCTGACATCCCAGGAGGTTGTCACGGAGGACGCCGGGCAGAGACCCATGTCGTAGCTCTGACTCAGACTTCCCTGAGTGCGGTGAAACAAACACTGCCACGTGGTCAAGCTAGGTTTGGCCAGGCTGTAGGGTTTAGGGTAGGTTCGGATGTGCCGACTTCCTGGCATGAAGAGGTCTGGGTAGTGCGCAGCGGCCCGCTTGCCAATGCAGCTTGGAGATACCTCAGATGCCGTTGTGAAACGGTCCGTCCGTCCGTCACTTTGCACTTGTGCATACATCTCTTCTTCTTCTTCACCTCCAAATGTGGTGTTTCCATGTGTTTCCGAAATCGTGCGAACGGCAGCGAACGTACGTCCGCGGCAAGCAGACCCAGAAAAGATTGCCTTTGCGCTGAACAGGGTCCGTCTCTTTCGGCGTCCGTCGCCCGACGGGTTCAATCCCAGTGGTCATGGCTGAGAAGCATCCAAACGCTTGTGAGAGGAGTACGAAATATGATGATGTTCGAAGGTTGTACCATAACTGCTATTTCATACGCACCGTTTTGAGGATCGTTTTGAAGAGAAATAGGATTTGACCTTGCGCGTTTGATGGGATGGAGGAGTAGCCTTGAGCTTTCGTGAACATCAGCATTTGGTAAGAGGCATAGTCTTGACGACCCCCCTGTTTCGTTCCATGCAGCCGAACTAGCCTTCGCAATTCTGGCAGGAAATCTTCTACGTCTCAGATTCCATGGACCCTCCTGAGAAGCCATTCCGCAGGGCCTGGCACTCAGCTCCGGCGGAGCCCCAGATCGATTGCAAATTACTTCGGCTTGGAGATTACTGGAAGTTCAGGCGGTCTCACGGAACCCATGGCTGCTGTGGAACTGGCGTCTCTTGGGGTGGCTGCTGATGTGCGCCTGTCAGACTCAGAAAACGGTAGACCAGGCAAAGGTCATTGGGTTCATGACAAGCATTTACTACGCAGGGTGCATCACTTCTTACAGTTCCCGTTCAGAGGATTCCACTGTTATGTTTGCAAGGTCTGCCAAAAGGTTCTGCTGTGACTTTGCTACATCGCCAGGTACTTCTCCTTGCATTTTGCCTTGCCAGTCCTGGACAATGTCTTCGAGGGGCTGGGGCTTCAAAGGTGGGGCTGGCCCTGGCCATGTCAGCATAGTATAGTAGAGTAGAGTGTGGTGTGGTATGGTATGGCATGGCATGGCATGTTTGGTATAGTGTAACATAGTATAGTATCGTATAGTATAGTTCATTATAGTATGGTACTATAGTTTATTTCTAGTCTAGTCTGGCCTGGTCACGGTAGTGAGTATAGGACAGGATAGCATACAATTGTATTGATCATCTGCCACAAAGTAGATTGCACTCCGCACGCCAGCCCGCTGATCGTCAAGCCGCAGCCTTGCAGGCTGCCAACTGCGGTGAACATGCTGATGCTGACACTGGTTTTGTGGTCATTAGTCGTCGCAGCCACGCGCTTGGACCTGTGAAGCGGACAGGGGACCGTGTTATTTGAACCCTTCCCTTGCAGACATTCGGAGACGTTTGTGCTCCGTCTTGCTGTGCTCGTCAGCTACTCTTGTGTGATTTTATATACTCGACGCGAACGGATGTGGCTTGGAAATGGTCTTATGGCTTTGCAACGGAGGTAAAATCATACATGAAGTTTCTTGTCTTATTTTCAAGGTGCATGATGATGAAGATCTCTCTTGATAAGTCCTGAAACAAATCATGAACATAAATTACCCGGAAATCTGTTTTTTAATCGACTTCCAGTTCTGGCAGCAGCTAGCAGCCCCAACGTGGAACCGATGTGTGGCAGAAGTCCCAAATCACCAAGGTCTGTGTGGTAGGCACAGAAGCAGACCGTCCAGCAAAAAAGCGCAACGCCAGTAGTTAAAAACATGTCCAGAGGGTCAGGATGCAGCCTGGAGTCACTCGCCCAGACCAGTCCAAGTCGCTTTGTTTGCCCTCCTCCCAGCTGTGGAGTCTGTTGCTGCTTCAGCTGCAGGCTGGGGTTGAAGGCCACAAAAAGTACAAAAACTGGAGGACCGCAACACACGCAGCCATCAGATGCCGGGGCATCCTTTCAAGCTTTTGAAGTTCTGAAGGCCATCTGGGAATCCACGGAAAGCTGTAGGCACTTTAGGCCAGAGCAACATGCGCGCAGTGGCCTTGTTCAATGGCCCACGTGTCCTGGATTCCACAGTAGGTGAAAAAATTTGGGCTGCATTGGGTCTGAGCGCAGCCCCGTCCAGACCTCGATGAGGTCGCCTATGCCTGCTACCGTCCCAGCATGGGCATAAGGCCTTGCGCCCAGTGCCACATCACAGGGAATCGAAGTACGTTCTGGGAGCGAAGCTTGCTTAGGTACTGCCTCATGGTTGCGATCGTCGTTGGCATACCGGTCATTTACAATCAGATGAGTACTTCTGCGAGCTGAAGGCAAGCGCCCAGCACTGGTTCAGAAGGTGAGTTCTTTGACCGGGCTTATGATGCACGTATATTATATTGTATTATACTATACTCTATTGTGCTTTATTCCATTATGTTATGTTAAACTGCATTAAGTTGTTTTGAGTTATGTTATACTATTATGTAATATGATATATCGTGTTATACTATGTTAGAGTACCTCATGCAAAACTATCTTCTCTTTTGCTATGTTATACTATGCAATATGACGATGTACTAGGTTGTACTATGTGATATTATTATGTTTTATGTTCTGTTATGTTATGCCATATTGCTCCATATCATATCATTTGTGCCATGATATGTTATTTTCTGTTGTATCATGTTATATTATTCAAAGGTTGTATTGTGCTGTCTCATATTGTTTTACCTTACATTTTCAAACGTTATGTTGTGCGATCGCGTATTGCATTACGCTACATTACATTATATTATGTTGCAGTATATCCGACTGTATTATATTTAGACTGCATCATTTTACATCATACTACATGTTATCAGACTTCATTATACTTCGGTGCATGTGTTATACTCGGCTGCCTATTGTGTTAAATTATACACTAGACTGTATGCTAGTTTTTTAATATATGTTGTCTTGTATTAGCCTATAGCTTGTATACTCTATTGCCAACCTGAGCCGACAAGGACCCAGGCATGCTGGCCTCCCGAGCTGATCGCGCGCACTTCAGGCGAAAAAGATGGCTGAGTTTTCGGAAGCTTGTCACGCTGGCTGAGCAAGAGTTTCCATTGTGTGCCGCAGTTGTGTTGGTGGGACAATTCGCATCCGAGCACATTGAATGCATCTTGGCTGCCTCCTTTGGCTTACGGCCCTTCTTGGCTGCGCAGTTTTGTTTTTTAAGCCACTAGGACAAGGCCCAAAGTCGAACCGGTGTCCATCATGCGCATGCAGCAGGCCCGCGACGTCGTGCGACTAGGACTATAGGTCAACAGGTCAAAGGTCGTCGGGGAAATTTGAGTTCGTACAATTAAAAGGTTACACTCTCCTCGTGGGTTTTCTCCCCCGCGCTTCTGCAGGCCAGCCAGATCGGCCAGCGGCCTCTGCCACATCGGCGCAGGCCATGACTAATGGCTAGCGGCTAATATTGTGATGACTGAGTATGTATGATTATGTATGTATGTATGTATGTAGGTATGTATGCATGTATGTATGCATGCATGGATGGATGTATGTATGTATGTAGATGTGTGTATGTAAATACCCTCACTCTTGTTTGTATTATCATGATGACCATTGTTTATTATTATTGTTACAAGCAGCAAGAGTCCTTTGTCACATGAGACACAGAACTGGCAAGGCGCTTGGGCGCCGCTGTTTTGGGCCTTGCCGTGGTTGGGGCGCGCGAGTCCCAGAAGTTGAGCTGTTTCAGGTTGGAGAGTGTAGGGTTGTAGGTTTTAGGGTTCAGGGTTTAGGGCTTCAGGGGTTTAGGGTCTATAAGGGGTTGCGAATGGGGTTTCATAAGGGTCTTAATACTCAGAATGGGATTTGAGGGTGTATATCATACTCTGGTTGTATGATATGACTTCACAGCAGGGATGAACCGATGCCTATCTATCAATGAAGTTGCCTCAGCCTAAATTTGCCGAGACACCTTAAAGGCAACGCCTATTGAATTTCAATCGTGTGCTCGACACCAGGTCTGCCCAGGTCTTCGTTGCCCCCGTGGAGGCCTGGCCCCATTGTAGTAGCAGTTCTTTCAGTGCCAGAAACCCTCGCGCTCGTACGATCATGGCCATCATGTTGTGAATGCCAGCATTTGCTGCATCTGACTGCGAATCGGTTTCAGTGTGTCTGTACTGTAGCAAGCCAGCGACTAAAAACGATAGCCGCCATGTTGCCGTGATGCGGCACGATTAAGTCATCCGCAGATGCAAATGCCCTGACGTCTTCTTAGCTGCCAAGACAGCAATCATAATCTCTGCCACATGTCTGCACGTCGCACATCGTAAGACTCGTACAATAATCCTTGCTACAGGCTTTGTATCCCAGCCGCGTTTGCTCCCCAATATTGCGCCACCATACTAGGGACCGCAATGCCGCAAGTGGACGCGATCGTTGGTTGCTCCGGGTTCCGAAGCCCAAGTCTGTCACCCCCCTCCACCCTCCGGCCCTCCCCTAGATCGAAGCTGTGTCAGGCATCCAGGCAACAGAGACAGCCCTCGGATCTGACCTTGGGGACCTTGGGGCTGAGTCCTGGGCTAAGGCACTGGAGGTAGGCTTTTGTTCTGTTTCCTGGCGCCGAATTTGTTGCCGAGGTCCGTTGCTGCTGGCAGCTCCTGCAGAGGTCCTGCGAGCCTGCCTGGCAGCTCTGTGTTCTGGCAGAACATGCCGGAGCTGCATCTCAGTCTCCTGCTTCTGCACCAGCAGATGCTGCTGACTGGCTCAGTCTTGCCAGTACACCCGACTTTTGAGACAGAGACCGTAGTTGATGCATGTTACATCCCGGCTGGCATGGAACGAGAAAGCAACACCGAGGATGCTTTTTGTGTAGCAGGGACTGATCCTGCTTCTTTAGTCATTCAAGTATCTGGGCTTTACATACGGCTACAGTATCTACCTTTAGCCCAGCCAATGTAACACATTCCCAGTTTGGTGTGACAGTGCTTATGCAAACGTGCTTCGCTATGCAATGTCGCCGATGAAGCTTCGCACGCGCCTTAAGTACTGCCCAGAGTACAGATTGTCACGCCAGGCCATCGTGTTCACCACTTCGTGGCGAGACAAAGACTTTCATGAAGCAAGAAGCACGCAACATTCAACACGCAGCACAGGTTTCACAACATAATCAACATAGTGCTAAGGTCATGGCAAAAGAGCGTGGGACACATGCCCCAGGCACTTGCCAATGGAGACTGGGAGTCAAGGATACGGCAGGATACTTGCAATGAAGACGTTGCAGGAGACGGCATAAGCCTGCTGCCTTATGGCCTAAGCCTCCTGCCTTGAAGCGTCGTGGTGTCAGAGCTAGCAGGTGCGAGCGGGCTTTGCCTTCTATTCGCAGCATGCGCGATGCTGCTGAATCAGGCCATACGTTTGGCAACAGGTTAGATCATTGATCGCGGTCGTGGATGATGGGCTCGAGATCTTGCAAGGGTTGGTATTGAGGCCTTCAGGCTTCCTCATCTTAGCTCCAGGCCCAACAGCTGGTGTCTCCAGGTGTTCCTCGCCGTGATCTTCCCATTTCCCGATGGCGAGGCTCCTGAAGAGAACCAGCCAGATTCTTAGCCCGGGCCATTTTGGGGGGAGCTTTTGCCACTCAAGACGATTCCCCTGTCGCTAGGACCGAAACCTTGGGAGGCCCAGTGTTCAAGCGTGTTTGCCTTTACGCTGAGGCCAGCAGAGGCAGGCTTTCCCTCGCTGAAGCTGAAGCCCGCGAGCCTTGCTCCGGGCTTCAGTGGCTGCTCCAAGGGGCATGGGGACGATTTCGCAGAGCCGGAGGCGAGAAACACCCCACATCTCTGGGCTTCTCCCAATACGGCCCTGAGCGAAGGAGGGTTGATGAATAACGTGGAGTTCGCAGTTGCGGTCGAAGCGCATCTTGCCATGCAGGAAGCTGCAACATGGAAAGACATTGCCAACCCGCTGGCCAAGCTTTCACCGGCCTCCTTGTGACTTGTCGGGAAGCGGGGGGGGGGGGATGTTCCGAGATTCTAGATCTTTTGATGCCTTGCTATTGACAAGTCCACCTTAAAGCCTCACAGTGAACCCAAGTCTTGGACCCCGGCTTGGCGAAGGACTCGCATTTGAAGTGGGCTCGAAACGCGGAGTGACCATTCGGGCGAGGTAATCGGAGTGAAGCAAACACCAAGAAGCCTTTAGGGGGGGCCTCGTTCGTTGCCCCGGTGTAGATCAATCTGTCTCCCCGTGAACCAAGGAAGCTGCTGCCCAGACAAGAGGACAGAGCACCGCCCTAAGCTCTAAACTCTTACGGTTTAGGTTTTTTCGGGCAGCTTGGCTTCTCAGCCTGTAAGAAACGTTGCGCACCAACGGCACCAGCCGCTGTCCCACAATCCATCCTCCTGCGCTTTCATAGACGGATGCCGGCTGCTCTTCCTCTGATTTTCGTTTGCGGCCGGCATATCATGAAGAGATCGATTAAATTCCTGAGTTCTCGTGGCAGTGTTTCACAGTAAGGCTTGAATCCGATCATCGTACAAGGGTTCCTTGCAGGCCAGGTGCTTCCGGCATAGCCAGTGGTTGTCCCTGATACGTTGCAGTTTACGGCCAAGTGCACACAACTTTCGAAATGTTGCGGATTTATGGAAGGACAATGCGCCTACTGGGCATCATTGGCTGACCTTTGGCATGTCTTCCATCAAGCGGCCGAAGGCCATCCATGAGAGTTCGTCTGAAGTAAGTTCTGAAATACTCGTAACAATTTTACGAACATGGCTAGGTCTGGCATGCTAGCATCAAGTCATTGTCCTCCTCGCTGTCGCCGTCGTCGGCGCTCTGGGCAGTGAATTCCGCAGTCGTCGTGGTCGTGGTCGTGGTCGTGGTCGTGGTCGTGGTCGTGGTCGTGGTCGTGGTGGTGGTGGTGGTGGTGGTGGCGGTGGCGGTGGCGGTGGCGGTCAGGGCCGCAGTGGCAGTCGCAGTGGCAGCAGCAGTCAGGGTGGTAGATTGGTGGTGGCAGCAGCAGCAGCAGCAGCAGCAGCAGGAGCAGGAGCAGGAGCAGGAGCAGGAGCAGGAGCAGCAGCAGCCGCAGCAGCAGCAGCAGCAGCAGCAGCAATAGCAGCAGCAGCA